AAAAAAAAAAAAAAAAGACTAGTTTTATTGTCCTGTTAGAAAATCTCTCCAAAACAGATTTTGGTTCCCAATGATTTTTTTTTTCTCTGATTGTTGAAAGAAGAAAAACATGGGTTTACCTTTTTCTCTCTTTTTTTGGCAAAAATATCCATCAAGCTGATCTCTCCCCCTCAACATTTTCTTTTAAAAAGAAGGTTGATGGAATGTTTTTGACCAAATTACTGAGTGCAATATTCACTGGGTAAGGTGACGAGAATTTGCCCCTCAAGGAATAACTGAAGTGTAATGTAAAACATCAAAGGTGTTATTTTTTTTTTACCTTATACCTGAGCTATCTCTGAATCATATCAAATAATCTTCTCGTTTCATAACACCATACAATGCAGGCTAAAAGTGTATGTGATCTGCTTTGTGTACTGCTGAATGGATGATTAAATTGTCTAACCTGAGGGATATTCATCCAGGGCCTGCCCCAAACACAGTGAAGTCAGGGGAAAGACTCCCACTGACTTCAGAGGGCTTTGGAGCAGACCCATAATCAGCCAGGCTCTAATATACTTCAGGTGGTGTCTACGAGACTGCCTGGGGACACGTAAAAGGAACTAAAGATTGCACATTTGTGAATTAAACATCGTAGGCCTGATCCAGGCAATTGGCTGCCGTAGGAGAGCAGAAGGCGTCTCCCCCATCCGCCTGGGCTCCTCGGATCATTTTCCCTTTCCTGCAGTCCATTGTGTCTGGGATTTATTGACAAAGCAAAGCTCTCGCCATGCAGCAGGTCCACGTTTGCAATAAACAGTGACAAATCTGGTCAGGACCAATGGTTAATCTGCCCTTGGACTCTTCAGGTGGTGCTGATTTTATATCTAATTAAATAGCGACGTTGAGCTGTGCCATTTCCCTCCCAGGCTGGTTCGGAGGGTAGCAGAACCCACACCTTACCCTACCACTTCGGGGCCACCACAAATACCTATCCTGAAACACACAGGGTTAGTGCCTCGGCTCCAAGAAAGTGGAGGGAGTCAAAGCTAACTCGTAGCAGAACCAGGCTTGGACTTCCCTCAGCAAAGTGAATGATACTCAAATGGGGCCAAAGTATATTGTATGTGGGGGTAATGATATTTACACCCGTGTAAGTGTTCTTCTAGTCTAGACAATGGACTAGTGAAGCTGCCAGGCATCAGGTTCAAAGGAGACCCGAGGAGGTGGAGGTCCCATACTGGTGGTGGAGATGCCCTGGGGATCTCCTGGCTTCAGGAGGTTAGAAGCTTGTATGGAGGCAGGACAGGTTCATAGAAAGGAAAGCCAGCAGAGTGTAGGAAATGCAAAGACCCCCATCTTTAGGTTAAAAGTTCCTGAACTGCAAAGTGTTGGA